TCGTCAAGAACGGCGATGCCGGGTAATCAGGCCTGTAGAACATACCTGGGGAATACCTGTGTTCCGCGCATAGGCACGGACTTCTACTCTTGCATGTGCACAAAGGACTGGGAACACGACACAGATGCCGACTTCCCGAACTGTTTTAAACGAAAGTCCGTCTGCGATAAGGTAAGTTACCCGACTCAGTGGCTTCTATGGCACACTGCCCCATGTGAGATTCGAGCGTCCTGCCGTTTTTGTGTGAGAGGGTGATGTGTTATGCGGAGTCAGGTCGTGTGTTGCACGCGTGGACGGACTGTTTGGGTCTGCCAGCCACTGGTGTCCAATCTCAGTCCCAGATGGACAGCGGATTGGTGCGTAGGAAAGGGAAGAGAGGATGAGGTTGACTTCGTGATCTCCGTCCGCACAGTTCTCATTGCGCTTCCTACTATAAGAAATCTGGCGTATTTCTTAATTATCATTATCTGTTAAAGGCCGTGGCTTGGAAGGCTGACGACTGACAAGATAACTCGGTCCTCCTCCCAGGACGGAGATTCAGATCTTAAGGACTTCTTCTTAATGTGGTTTCTATGGCACCGCCACCAAGCAGGAATCCGAGTCAGCCAACACCTTTTATTTCTCTGAAAATTTGGTCCAATCGTGCGTGGTAGGCACAGATGGGGTGTCTACCTTTGTCAAACACTACACCCGATCCCGTCTTCGACCTTCTTAACTTTGTACTGCCGTCAGGCGCAGGCAGGTGAGAGAGGAGAGAGTGAAGTAAGCGCAACGCAAGTCTGCCACAACAACAAACTAATGCGTTAGTTACTGTCCCCTGCTGTGGAGCACACAGTGGACAACGTCGTTTGTGAGGGTCCAGTTAGCACACTGGAATATCTACGATTGAGGAAACGGGTATTCGTCTGGAAAGTATTTTGCCGTTCTGTGGGAGCCATAGAGAGACTAGTGGTGTTTATCCTTCTGACCCAGATCAAGGCAGACTGGCTTAGAGACTTTCTCCTTATAACAGTCCGATCGTCGATTCCGACGATTGTCACCGTGTGCTCCATAGCGGGCTGAGCGCATGGACAGTGATTTGCGCTGCGTCTACCTCACACTCTCCTTCTCCCTAACATGGACCCGGTGTCAAGCCAGATTCAGGAAGACCGGAAGCGGGTGAGGGCGCAGGTGGTTGGCGCTGCCGGAGCCATCCCTGGGCGTGCCTCCGAATCCGGCTTTTACCTCAAGGACCGGGAGTCTCAAAGAGGGCACATTAGGATGCAGCCACTGCAGTCCGACTCTCTGTCCATCTGTCCGCCACTTCACTCAAACACCTGCTGGGTCGACTGTGAGGTCTGATTTATTCCGTCAGTTGGAAACCTTCCAAGTGGCGGCTTTTAGCACACCGTGATAACTTCAAGCCTGTCGGTTTGTTTATAGTGAGGAAAATGCGCTTAGTTGACTGCCTCCCTTTCTTTTTCAATGTCCAGGCCCCAGCCACTGTCTGAATCGACCAGATGTCTGGTGCAGGGAATGGGCTTAGTAGCTGACAGAGTTAGAGAGAGCTCGTCAGGGCGTACCAAATGCACGACCTGGCCCCCTTAAACGTACACACCTGGATTTCACACATAAGGGGGATAGAGCCCGCGGATCTCACATGCGACAGAGGAGCCGCGCGGAGAAAGTAATTAGAAATCACAATTTCAACTTGCCTGAGAAGTGCGAGTGATGTGGGACTTTTGAGGAGTGTATATGTTGGTGGGAGAATGCCTGGTGGTGTGGTCGTGTTTGTGGTGATTCATCACAGGTTTTCATGAAGATAACTGGGACTTGATAACCCCATGCAGTGAATTAATATGCGTGGAAGGTATGGACAGTTGAGGAGGGTGCCGTGGCTGTTTGTTCGTGCTCCTGACACCAGATCACCAGTCTATGTGAGGTGGATCCGCAAGTGACCGGTCAGACCGATGCGCGACTTATACGTGTGGCCGCTGTGAGGGCATGATGGGTTCGGAGCTGTAGAATCAGTTGGAGCGGTAAGGCTGTTATACGTGGCCATGCTAGTAAGTGGGGAGTTGTGAGTGCCGGCTATAAGAGCGTTGTCGAGTATGCAGAGTGCGTTTGGGGTGTCGGTAATGCGATGAGCTCCGCGTTCGTGGATGCACAAGTGGCCAAACAGGCCTATGCGATGAGTAGATGTGCGTGCACAGTGCGGGCAGTAGAGGTGGGTGCAGTAGGCGTATGTCGAAGCTCTAGACGCTGGTATACCGGTCACAGTGCGATGGATTCGCAAGTGACCGACCAGACCGGTTTGTGAGGTCAGGGGTGAAGTTTTGGAACAATGTCCTAATTTCGGGAATAGGTCCAAAAAGATCCGTGCAAGACCTTGAAAGCGACCCCGAAAATTTAATGTTAGGGAAATTTAACATCAAAA